ATGGGATTCCAAGAAGAGAAATGGGATTGGAGCGAGAGAAATGGGATCCCAAGGCGATAAATGGAATTGGAGCCAGAGAAAAGGGATCCCAAGGAGAGAAAGCGGATTGGAGCCAGAGAAATGGGATTGGAGCAAGATAAATGGGATTCCAAGGAGACAAATGGGACTGGAGCAAGATAAATGGGATTCCAAGAAGAGAAATGGGATTGGAGCGAGAGAAATGGGCTCCCAGGGAGATAAATGGGATCGGAGCGAGATAAATAGGATCCCAGGGAGGCACCTGGTATCCCCAGATCCCAGTGAGATAAACGGGATCCCAGCAAGATAAATGGGATTGGAGAGAGAGAAATGGGATCCCAGGGAGATAAATGGAATCGCAGGGAGATAAAGAGGATCCTAGCGAGATGAACAGGATCGGAGCAAGAGGAATGGGATTCTGAGCAAGAGAAATGGGATTTCAGCAAAATAATCAGGACTGGAGCGAGATAAATGGGGTTGGAAAGGAATAAAATGGGAGAGAGGAAAATAAAAAAGGAATTGGAGCAAGATAAATGGACTAGGAGGAAAATATAATGGGATCAGAGCAATATAAAACAGGATTAGAGCAAGATAAAATGGGACTGGAGCAAAATAAAATGGGATTAAGCAAGATAAATGGGAGTGGAGCAAAATAATCAGGATGCAAGTGAGGAAATCAGGATTAGAGGTGGCATCCAGCATTGGCCCTTGGCTCCCGATGACCTCCCGGCCACAGCCCCGATCCAGGTGCAAATTCCAACCTCCACTTTCCCACAACCGGGGAGGAAAAAGCCTGGGATAAAGTGAAACGAGCAGGGAGAAAGAGATGGAATATTGGGAAGCGCTGGGAGAAAGCACGCAATGGCCACGCTAAGGGCACGCTAAGGACATGCTAAGGGCACACTAAGGGAAAAATAAGGATGTACTAAGGACACGCTATGGACATGGTATGGACATGCTAAGGACACACTAAGGGTTTGCTAAGGGCATGCTAATGACATGCTAAGCACATGCTAATGGCACGCTAAGGACACGCATGATGCACCTGTACCAGGGGCATGCGCCTGTATTGACTAGTGTCACTGGTGCAAGATATGGCCAGGACACGGGATGCGGAAACAGCGGGGCACGTGTGACATGTCGGGACATGTCGCGACGCGGCGTCACGTACCTGTGGTTGGGTGGACGCAGAGGCTCAGCAGCAGCACGAGACACTGCACGCGTGTCGGGAGCATGTCGGCGCCTGCACACGCGTGTCGCAGGGGGTTGGGGGGAGGACCGGACTTTGTCCCCTCCCTGGTGGCACGGACGTCACCGCAGAGAAACCTCAGGGCAGGGGGGGTGGCCCACGGGGCTGGCGTGCAGGACGTGTGTGCAAGATGAAGGGGATGTGGCGTAGGGGTGCAGCGTGCAAAGAGGGGGTGCATGCGTGTGAGCAAGCGTGTGCGGGTGTGTGTGTGTGCATGGGGACACGTGTGCATGCATGGGTGTGTTTGTGCATGCACAGAGACATGTGCATGCATGGGAGCGTGTGCATGCACATGTGCATGCACGGGGTGCACATGCATGCACCGCACTGCGTGTACGTGCAGGGGGATACGTGTGCATGCACAGGGAAATGTGTGCATGCATGGGTGTGCATGCACAGTGAGTACATGTGTGTGCACAGAGATGCGTGTGTGCATGCCTGAGGAGTGTGTGTGCATGCCTAGGGGTGCCTGTGCATACATGAAGTGTGCATGCACAGGGTGCACATGTGCACGCATGGTGATGCATGTGCATGCACAGGGTGTTCGTGTGTGCATGCATGAGAAGTGCACATGCATGCATGAGGTATGTGTGTGCATGCACGCGGTGCATGCGCATGCCCTGGAGTGCATGCGCGTGCACGAGACGTGCATGTGCATGCATGCAGTGCACGTATGCATTCCGGGGGACATGTGTGCATGCACATGCGCTTGCATGGTGTTGCATTTGCATGCACAGGGCTGCATGTGCATGCGTGGAAACGTGTGTGCATGCACATGCAAGCACATGGTTGCATTTGCATGCACGACGGCTGTGTGTGCATGCACAGAGATGCACGTGCATGCGTGGGGACATGAGTGCATGCATGGAGAAGAGTGTACATGCACGGGGGTTGTGTGTGCATGCACATGCATGCATGGGGACGTGTGTGCATGCACGGGGTGCACCTGTGCATGCACAGGGCCGCATGCATGTGCTCCCACACGCGTGTGCAGCCGTGCCCCGGAGGCCCCACTCGCAGCCGCAACTTCCTCTCCCGCTGCCGCAACTCCGGCACAACTGGTTAAACTGGGACTAAAACTTCCTGGAGGTGGCCATGGGGTGGCACCGTGTCCCCGTGTCCCAGCACCCATGGATGTCCCAACACCCTTGGGTGGGGTGAGAGGGCTGCAGCACCCGTGGGTGGCCCCAGCACCCATGGGTGGGGTGGCAGAGCTGCCCTGTGGGTGTCCTGGCACCCACGGGTGGGGTGGCAGGGCTGCATCACGCCATGGGTGTCCCAGCACCCATGGGTGCGGTGGCAGGGCACTAGGAGGGCGTGTCACGGCATGATGCCATCAAGGGACACGTTGGGTGGGACAAGGCCACCTGGGCACGTGTGGAGGGGGGTGGTACCAGCATGACATATGTTTGGGAGGGCGATGCCACCGAGGTACATGTTTTGGGGACAAGATGACCAGGACACACATTGGTGAGGTGACAAGACCACCATGACGTGTTGAGGGGGCATGACATGAAGATACATGTTGTGGGGACAAGACCGTCGTGACACGTGGCGGGGCGGGGGGGGATGATGCCACCACCGCACATGTCAGGGGACCATGCCATGGAGACTTGTTGAAGGGGATGATGCCACCAAAACAGATATGGGGGCAAGATGACCAGGACACACATTGAAGGGGGGGACAAGACCACTGTGACATGTGTTGAGGGGATGGTGCCACCAGGACACATGTCGGGGGGTCCATACCGTGAAGACATGGGACAAGACCACCATGACGTGTGTTGAGGGGATGATGCCACTAGGACACATGTTGGGGGTTCCATACCATGAAGACGTGTGTCGGGGGGGGCAAGACCACCATGACATGTGTTGGAGGGGACAAGCCCACCATCATATATGTTGGGGGGATGGTGCCACCAGGACACATGTCGGGGGGTCCATACCGTGAAGACAGGTGCCAGGGGGGACAAGACCACCATCATATATGTTGGGGGGATGGTGCCACCAGGACACATGTCAGGGGGGGTCCATACCGTGAAGACATGTGCCAGGGGGGACAAGACCACCATGACATGTGCTGGGGGGATGATGACACCAGGACACGTGTCAGGGAGGGGTCCATACCATAGAGACACGTCAGGGGGGACAAGACCACCATCATATATGTTGGGGGGATGATGCCACCAGGACACATGTCAAGGGGTGGTCCATACCATGAAGACATGTGTCAGGGGGGACAAGACCACCATGACACATGTTGGGGGGATGATGACACCAGGACACATGTCAGGGGGGGTCCATACCATGGAGACACATGTCAGGGGGGACAAGCCCACCCTGACATGTGTTGAGGGGATGATGCCACCAGGACGTGTGTTGTGGGAAGAGATAAGCGCTGCGGGGGACAGGGCCACCATGACACGTGTTGGGAGGGGGGATGATGCCATGTTGGGGAGTTTGTCAACACCAGGAAGACGGGAGCTGTGGGAGGTGGCACCACCGCCTCCAAACAACCCGTCCAACCACTGTCCCACGTGACTGTGGCACCTCCCCATGTCCCCACCCAAGGTTTCCCCAGCTGCGCAAAGTCCATCGCGGGTCACGTGTGTCCCTCACGGGTCACGTGCGTGGGACGAGAGGGCCAGAGCTGCCTGTGGCCCTGGCCATGTCGTGG